ATAAAGTAATAAATAAAGTAGATATGAAGTCTCAGAAACATATATATATCACTGATTCTAAATTAAAAGATTATACTGCAAGTGATAACCTGCTTCAAAGTAAAAGCAACCGGTCATATGCATGAGCAGCAGAGAAAGACACACAATCTGATTACAGAGGATTGCGAAATTTTTAGTAGAAGGCTTTTTTATTAAAATCATTGAGCTTTCGCAATCAAAACTTTTAGATGAAGAAAGATCAAATTCAATGTATTTTTTAGCTTTTTTGTTTTTTAAATGTTTTGCTTTACTGCTTTTGAAACACAGCTTTGTTTGCCTTTGTCTTCTGCATATTCAGTCCCCACATGCAGATCTTGACTATTTTTCTGATCCCAGCTCCTAACTGGAACGTTCCCAATATACTGACAATGGTTTGGATGATATTTTCTCCTTCCTCTCCTAATGAGGACGCAATGCTTTCACATGTATTTTAAATGACATGCACATATGTATTATGGCCTGCATTATTCCTGGATGATCGCGTTTCTGAAACCACTTCCAAACATTTTTAGTTTTCCCAGAAAACTAAACGGAAAGGTTTTTGAAATCGTGAGAAGACAATAACCCATCCACAACTACTCAATGCCACTTTTGGGGAAATGTTAATGCTGTTACTGAATTTTGCATAAAGAAAATATGAAAATGTATGCTGTTTTACCCACAAAGCACTGTGAAGTTTAGAGGAAAAAAACTTAAAAGATCTTGTTAGAGCAATAGATAGTCATGAACATGTCAAACAGAAGAAGAGTTTTCAGCTGATAAAAGATGACAGTTTTATCTGATTTGGAGGAATGAGTTTCAGAGTGTACGCTTTCCCATAGTGGAAAGAGCTATGCTTTCATGACTTGTAATACTGCTTCTGATTTGCAGGGCAGGTCAGAAAAGAAGAAAAAACGTTTCACGTAGCTCTACTTCCCTTCTCATTTTTCACTTCTGCTTCAGTGCAATTGTGCCGAAAAGCTATCGTTATATGCATTATTCTCCATCCTTATCTGATTTAACATTCCTTTTTTCAGTAAAGTCTGAATCTTCCCTGTTTTGAATAAAGCAGAAGTAATTTTACAGAAATCAATATTTATGTGACAACAAAACTGCTGCAGTGAGAAGAATCACGCTGGAAGTGAATCTACAGAAAAACGGCACAGTCTTTGTTCTCTGTCTACAGAAGTGGGAGACAAAAGCAGAGGCCTGAGGGAAGAGAGAAAATCATCAGGAACGTGCTGGAGACGACAATATTTCAGATACCGCCAAGGGTAAACTTGGAGTTCAAATTTTATCTTTTATTTCCCATTTAAAATTATTTCCCATTTAAATTATCTTTTTTTTTTAATATATATATATAATTAGTGCATTTTCATAGTAAAAAAAAAATCACCTTCTAGCTTTTATTTATAACGCAGTCTCCTTCATCCTCTGGCGGTAAGCGATGACTCCATCGTCCGAAGTGAGTAGAAACGAACGCAGCTACAGCAGCACGGAGAGGAAATTTGTACCATAGCTGTTGCAAAGCCAGCGGACAACATTCATTCGTAAGAATTTTCAATTAACACTAAAATAACCGATGAGGAATGAATTAGGTTAACTGATTTCTAGTTTAATATTGCCTAGGCCATTTTAGAGTGGCCTGCTCGGAACTGCTTGATGGCAGTTTGGTTCCAGTTTCTGTTTCTAAAGTGGCTTTTTAACAAAGTAGAGGCTTGCCACTGGCTGAAAATGTCTGTGCGCTCTGCGTGGAAAGGCTAGCCAACAGTGCATTCATGGTCACCCTCAAAAACAGGGGAAGTAGGCTCCTCGATGTAATGAAGACTTGAACAGCATTAGAACTGCTCTCTGCCCAAGGGAAAATTGTTTAAAGAACGGCACCTAGGCCTGCTGAATCGTATTTGCCCTGCTATACATGTCAGTCATGTGGAGTCTGCCTCTAGAAACAGGAATCAATTTGTACATTACACTTTATGTACGCCAATTCTTCACTGTCTCAGCCCTGTGCAATGTAGGATATTTCAAGGGCATTTGTTACCGCACTGAAATTTTTAACACTGAATTCACATTCGAGTAGCTACCATCTCAGTTCATACCAATCACAGAAAGAACTGCATAATGTTTCAGATTACTAAGGCTAGTAGCCTTTAAGAATCAATTGCCAGGGTTATAAATTGAAATTCCAAGTATTCATCTGTTCAAGATAACACTGAAGAACAAGACAAAAATCATGTATCGTATTTTGGCAGCTTCTGTGTTATAACCAAAGGCTCAGAATATTCATCTCTTCTTTCAAGCAAAATATTATTGTACATCTCTTAGTCACTCAACCTTTTAAAATCTATCATTATTTCAAAGCATACGGAGAATACCTGTTGGCCACCCTTTTGTGGGGGGGGGGGGGGTGAAAAAAACACACAGGCAGAGGGAAAGAAGGGCACTGCAAATGATGTCCTATACATACGTATGTCCTCCGTTTTCACGCTCCTGAATCTCGGTTTCCTCTGTAAGTACTGGAAATACTATTAGTAAGTTTTGATTATTTCTCGCAACAGTTAAATTTTAGAGATTTCAGCTCAAAAAGTGAAAAGCAGCATCACATATATGACTATCTTCACCTTTAAAAATAAACAGGCATAACAAAAAATTTCTCCTTTAGGAGAGATGAAGAAATTTCTGGAAGTAATGTGCCCCATCATATTTTCAAATTATAATGAATGATTTGGTCATTAAGAATTAATATCACATTTATGCATCTCAACACCTAAGGGCCCTACCCCGTAAGTAGACAAACATAATCCACTTGCACTCGGTGCCATCTGATGTGCAGAGACGCCCAAAAACGTAGCACGGTCTTTTACCAATTTCACAGACGGAAAAGTGGAAGAATTTCACTGACATCAAACGTGCTCGTTTGGAAACGCCACGGAATAAGCCAGAGCAAGAACCCCTCCGATATATTTGATATTTTCCGTTGCCTATGGTGAAGATCCATCACAAAACTTTGTATCATATCAGTAAGAAGAAAGAATACGTCTGTGCCGAGTTGCCACAGAAATAAAATTCAGTATTGACAATGAAGAAAAAGGCCAAATTCAAGCACAATGAACACTACCGAGGCATATTCTTTCCTATCTTCCTGAAGATACCTTAGATAAGCCGCTCTCTTATGCAATGTACTGCACCCTTTAAAGAGCTGTCTTGCATAGGTTGTTCTCAAGTTATTTCTTTCTTTCCCTTCTTCATTTTCTTTTACAATCCAAACCGACTGAGCAGTCTAGTCTCTCAACATCACACATCAAAAATAACAAGCTGGCAGCCGTTCCCTACTAGATATCTAGTGTTAAACAAACAACAATGCAGACACAGCTGCAGCTGATTTCTAGGAGAGAAGAAAAAAATTTTGCATGCACAAATAACCAGAGCTGATGTCCAGCTTTTCACTAAAACCATAAATAGGTTGCACGCGCTTCACACAACCTTAAGATAAACAAACCACACTTCAAAATATAAAAATAACTGAAACCTTATTTGCCGTCGTTTCCATTGCTCTTCTTGACTACCTGAAAATGGCTCAATGACCACTTCTACTACAACTGATACTTGAACTATGAAGTAAGTATGATAATATTGGGCATTAAAACCACATCATTAGTGCGGTTTCTGTGCAAAAATTATTCAGTTGATAAAATACGTGAATGTAAGTAACATGAAAATTGCAAATCAACAGTTTCAATATGATTCCCAAGCCAGAACTTGGTAGTATTTCATCCATTAGCAATGATGCCACAAAATGAAAACAGAACATTTCTACAGTTCAAAGAGTTCTTACTTGTTTTGTAGAATAAATCATGAGGTTTTGAATAATCAACAAACTCCGTTATAAAATGTGAAAATATTTTATAATTATTTTTTATAAAAATACTCCTCAAAATACTTCAGGGGAGGGAATCTAACACATCCCTGAAAAATTTTAATGTGGTTCTACTCTAAATGAGGTCTATGAAATCACGATGGACTCATGTTATTGCAAATTTATTGCATCCCAAGGCCCTCCAGATCAGCGCTAACATTTTACAAATAATTTTTCTTTCTTTTTCTTCCGTCAGTTCCACAAATTTACCCAAGTACAGCAGCAAAACTGATTTTTTTCGTTCTCAAGCCTTCTCTTTTAACAAGTCAGGTTAGTCCTGAATGACATCTGCACAGTGCAGTCATATTCGGTCAATCTGTCCCTAGGCCAGCCCTCATTCACATCTTAATTTTATATAATTTGTGACGTATCTATCTTCCCAATATATCACCATCTAAGGTTCTCCCCATTTTAAAGAGAGTAGACTCCAGAGCCTTACAACTTTTTTACAAAATCACTTCCAGCGGAAAACTCTCAATATGAGGGCAGTAATGAGTACGAGCTGTTCCTTTCACTCTGCCTGTTGAGCACATCTTGACATATATATACATACATACATATATATATATATGTATGTATGTATGTATATGTATGTATGTGTGTGTGTGTGTGTGTGTGTGTATGTATGTGCATACACAGGAAAGCCAATTTGGTACCTGCAGCAAGATGATGCAAACAACTCTAGCACAGGTGGGGAAAGTACCTTGTCACGGCAGCTCTAAAAAGTTTACTTGAAGTAGTCGTGGAAGAAAGGCAAGCATCAGCACCTTGCAGTATATTCAGACTGAATTAAAAGACAGCATTTTAGAGCAGAACTTTTGCTTTTTTTCTTTCCTAATCTGCCCTTTCTTCCAATGAGGGAAGAAATACGGCAAATGCAAACAACCGCAGGAGTATTAGCCACGTTTCCAACACGTTCCGAATAAAGCGAGCATAAGAAATAGCATTAATTTTCTATACCACTGCAATAAGCACCATCACTTGCTTATTGTGAGGGGAAAAAAGCCCTCATCAAAGAAAAGAAACTATAAAAAACTACTAAACCATATAAACTTTTACATCTTACCTTGCCAGCCTGGTTTGCACACTGGTTTGACGTCAACTCGTACTAAGACATTTCTGGTTGCGCGTTTTTGCCCACAGTCAAAAGCAGTTACCATTATCTCATACTGGTGCTGTTTATCGTAGCTCAGCTTCTCAGTGTTTCTGATGTTACCTACAGATTCAACACAAGACAACATTCAGCAACTACTTCTTGGCTGAACTTACACAGACCGTAACGTTCCGGGCCCTGTCAATCAAGTCCTTGGCGACCAGAACGCTCTTTGGAGCGCACAGGACTTCCACAGGCAAGGCAATCATGAGGAATGGATAGATTTTTTTTTTTTTTTAATCTAGCATAGAAACAAAGAAAAGATCCTTCGGCCAAGGTAAGTTTCTCTACTAACGTCAGATACAGATGTATCTGCCTTAGAACACATTTGCTCAACAACATTTTCTGAAGACTGGGAGACTAACTAGTAGTTACATCTTGAAATACAAAACATGAGAGTAGTCACAATCCCATTTTCCACATCTTCCCAGAGTTCACTGCTTTAACGGGGCAGCAGCACCCACCATCCCGAGAGCCACTGCTGACCACTTCCCCGCGTTCCCCCAAGCAGAAAGACAACTCCCAACCCTGAGACAGACAGAGCAAAGACTGAGTCACAGTATCTTCCTTTTTTCCCCTACTGTTATTACCCTTCAAATGAGGGCTATTTCAAGCCCTTTAACCCCTTCCCCTGCATTTTAAAAACAAGAAAGATCATCTTCTACATAAGAAAGCTCATCAGCATGTGATATGACAGCACTGAGCTACGACACGGACAATAACAGTCCACAACAACAGAAATTATCCCGAGACACGCTTAAAGGGGACAAATCACCTGCACCAGGAACAAAGAAATTATGACTTTCACGAGGAAATGGAAAGATCTTTTCCAGAGAGTACTTCTTGCGGGACTGGAAGATCACCACCCCAATGCACTCTTCTGCATGTGCAAAGTTTAGCTTTTTAATTCTATCCATTTCCACTGAAATACACTTCTAGCTTAAAATGAAATCGTTTGGCATGTTTCACATGTTTGCCCTAGGCTGCTATACCACCTCTTTGAATGAGCTTCCTGGTTCCGGAATTCAAGGAATAAACTTTGCACAAAGGGCAACTCTCTGGATCAAAGCTCCACTTTGTAACTGCTTGCAACATGGTCTGTAAATCTAGTTATTTGGCCTAAATTTGGAAATGGAAGCAGCAAAATCCTGGAGGGGAGTTAAATACAGTGCCGTAATTTCTACAGGTGCTGATCTAAGTATCTAGATCTGGATCATGCTGACACTGGTTTTTGTTTTTTTTTTTTTTTTCATTCCTATCAAACTTGAGAAAAGGGGGAAAGTAGACAAATGGAAGTTTTTCATTAGGCCTTTCACTAAACCTCCCTACCACCATTCCTACGTCACAAAAGGAGAAGCAGAAGGACAAGGACCTGCAACGGCTAATATGGAAACGGTACTGCGTTCTGCAGCTTCCTAGTCTTCCTCTTTCAGGCCCACTGCTCTTGCCAGGCATTCTCAACGCTGCCATGGAGATTCCTCTTCCCCGCACAAACAGAACTGCGGTAACCATATAAACTTTTTTTTTGGAGCCAGCAATTAGTAAAACAAAAACCTAACCTACTCATTTTACTATCTCAAATGGCTTAATACCTGCCTAAGAGGATTTAGTGAAATGCTGACACTGTATGCCTAATTTTCCTTTAATATCTGCTCAGTCTTTCTTTTCTTTCTGCATTATATTATTTCTTCCATGCAGCTATACACGTTCTTCTTTTTGTTCTCTTTGCTATCGTTTTACTCTGTGATCAGCAAAGGTAATTGTCAAGAAACCCAAACTGGCTAAATCTGTAGTAGCAAACTGCTAGAATTTGCTTGGCACATTGACTTGTCTGCTAAGATTTATAAATAATTAAAAAGGATTTTGCATGTCACTAACACCTGTCTTCCAAGACTTGCATTTCATTATGGTCTTTCAAGATGTGGACTACAAAGATTCAAACTATTTAGGTTTTATACTGGAAGGTCACCTGAATGTCTTGTAGATGTTACCCAACAGTTTATTGATTTGCTCAGCATTCTATTTTTCTGGTACCTCTGATGCTTTATGTTACTTTACAATTATTTTACAATTTAATCAATATGATTATAGAGAGGAAGCACTATAAATACAGGCCAATTAACGTTTCAGAGCAGACAGATTCAGAAATTTCCATTTACATGCTACTCATGAACAAAAGGGTAATCAATAACATTAAAAAGGGGAAATTTAAATGAGAGAAGTAAATACTTTTCTGCACAGCTCACAATTACCCCATAAAATGCGTTTGCCATAGTCTTGCTAAATCTTTGCATTTTCCTGGAAATATCCAGAGCTACAACGGGTTAAAAAAAATACAAAAATAAGTGACAGGAGGAATGGAAATATTCCTGCCCGAGGGCACGCGCCATTACACCTCTATTTCTTGAGGGGTCAATTTTGGGCTCAGTTCAATACAGACCTCTCTATTTCATGGGTTTCTTTCATCGTATTTTGGAGCAGCTGATTGAAGTCACAGGAACAGGGGAAAGACCTGGCTAATGATCTCCTCTACTACGGCAATTCCCTCTTAAATCTCATACTTATTACCTCTGTGAACAGGAAGGATAAAACCGAATCTGCTAACGCTTGCCAACGATGCAGGGCTGGGCTGGTCACAGGAGCGGCCCCTGACTCCAGCTCGCTCCCAGGAGCAGCAGCTCAGCACCCCTTGCTGCTGACAATCACTGGCAGCTGTGCTACCAGAGTCAAGCGGGAGCGTTAGAATAAGTTCTTGCGACAAAGGTGCACTTCTTAATCGTAACAGGAAGAAACTCTCAGTTAGGAAAAAAACCCAGGTAAATGCTTAACTGTAAAGTTTCACTTCTTTTCTGACACAATGCCAGGACTGTATAGCTCCTTACACATACCTCAGTGCTGTAAAAGCGACTGCATGACCTTGTGAGGGCCCGCTGAGGTCTATTTGCTAAGATATATAGCTTGACAGAACCTCTACTGACAGGCCAGATGAGTGGGCTTTTCAACTCACCTTCACATGGAACAATCTGAACATGTATTTGCAAAGCGCTTCCCAGTGGTGGCAAAACATTACACCCATTAGAACCATTTTAGCAATGAGGAAGCTAAGTAACAGACATGAAACTTTTTCCCCGAGGTGAGACAGCAGGTCAGAATCACAACAGTTTGTGCCTACAGCTGTATTCTTTAACTATCTGATCACGTCCCCTCCAAAAGGAAGGCAGAAAATGCATTAGAAGTGTTGTTCTGCTGGCACTGCAACAGATCCACACGTTGTGGTTTAGGTTTCCTTTACTTTTAAAAAAACAATCTAGGCAATAATGATGTGACGACAGCTGAACTGGTGATTAGGATTCTCTGCTAAGAGGACTAAACTAAATTAGACTGCATGTAGAAGTCTGTTAAAATGTATCCGATGCCTTTAGTTCCAGTTCTTTGTGCAGCCAAAGCATGAATTGGTCCTTCACCATTAAGGGATTGTATTTTATGGCTAAGAGTTGATTACCTTCCAAATTATCATATGCAAGAGAGTCAACTTTACTAGCGCTATGGTTTCATAACACAACATAATTTTATTCGGCAGGAAATTTTACGCGCATGGTCAAAACTGCCATACGTAAAAGGGAAGCTTTATTCTACCGAGGCTTTGGGTGCATAATTTGGCAAGGTAACTTGGCCCTGTCCTGCATCAATGCGCTAGGTGTCTAGATTCCCCCACAGTGTGGTTAAGTGGACTGTGCACTGCCGCAGGCTGATGGTTTCTCTCCTCTTTTCTGCAAACGTTCCCCATGTACGTCATAATTTTTCAAGAAAATAAAATAGTCCCTGGATTGGTCTAGATACAAGAAATAAGTTCTGCCTAAAAAGAGAATGGTAAGAGGTAAAAGCTGACAGAGTAGCACGTTCATCTTCCTAGAAGTCTGCATCAGTGCTTATTTTCATACTTTGGTGGTGAAAAAATCCCACCGTCTCAGCCTGCATGTTTTCCTCATATAGCACATAGTTTCGGAGCCATCTGCAACGTTTCGATTTGATTTTAAGCATCTGATGCAATACTCAGTGAGGGCAACGAAAATCTGTGAACTGATTTCAATGGGGTCTGGATTAAAAGAAAACAAAAAATCATATGTTTATACCACTGAAAAGCAGAAGGCATCACTTCCATGAGACATACTGCCAAGTCTTTCACCAGAAACAGCAAAGTTCATGTCTAGATTTGCTTTTCACAATCAGTAAAAACTATAAGCAAAATCCTAATTAGCACAGCACTTAACAAACACAGCCTCAGGCATGTCGTACATCTATTTTAATACATCCCAGAGCTAATAAAATCGGGCACAAGGCCAAAGAATTTGCACCAGAGAAACTGCAACTCACCTGGCACAGAGGGACGGTTCTGAGTAGTGAAACGCGTTAGAACTAAGCAACATAATTCTGTCACAAAATAAAAGTGCAATCATCTGTTCTCTGTCTCTAATCCCGGTGGGATAAAACAATTACCATTATCTGAAGAAAACTGCAAATTAGACTGCAATTACTGTTGATTGTGGCAGCACTGTTCTTTTAGTGAACAAATACAGCAGAAAGTTATTAATGGAATTTATGACCAAAAAACTGTAAGTATTACAACCTTATACCTGTCATTCACCTGTATTCACTGCAGGCTTTCAAGTCAAATTTAAGTCGATGCTCTTCTCACTGCCTTTGCCGGAAAGCAAGTGACAATTACCTCAGGGCAAATATGTAACCAAAGGACACTCCGCTTCCCTTAGATCAAGCCTCAGATTGCAGAGCAGCTCTGGTCACTCGTGAGCCAGCTGTACTGTGAGATGGGTGATGGAAAGGCCCAAACAATAGGAATGGTTGCGCCCTATCATGCTAATCTCTGCATATTTATCCACGATAGCTGCCACAAACCTGCTATGAAACCACCTGTAATTCTGCTAAGTAACCAGCCACAAACTGGCAAGTCATCTGGAGCTCTGGAAAGGTAACGGTTTCAAACAGAAACGCAGAAAACTTCCCTTTACCACAAGACGGGGGAGATCTCACAGTCAAAAATAATCCAGAAACAGGAAAAGCTTAGAGGGAACTGCTCACAGACATCTACTTCCAAGTGCTTCACTCCGTATATAAAAATCCTTTGTGCTATAGCTCTGATAAAAGAGTATTGTGCCAGCTGACCCCATTTACTTGAACACAATCATAATCATTATGATTATACTTCCTATATAGTATATAGAATGTTTTCCTCCCAATGACAGCATTATAACAAGAGGGCTTGTTTCCTCGATGTCATTTACATTTTATTGATGCTAACCAGTTATTATCTTTTGGTGCTCAGCTGCGCATTATGCAAAAGCTGCACAAATAAAGATGAATCATTTCTGAACAGCAGAAAGGGTTTTTATAAAACATCCCAACCTGAAAATGACTGCTAGGAGAAAACAGCAGCTCCGTGCGTGCTTTCAATTTTTAATTCGGCCAAAAATCAGATTCAACCTCCAAAAAGTATTCTCCTCCTGTATACAACATGGATTAAACGATTCTGTTCGGAAAGGTAAATGAGAGCATCCCGGGTAGTGCCTGTTCTGCAGAAACAACTTTGGTGCGCCCAGAAATTCACATCTGGAGCTTCCGCACGGGCACGCCCGTGTGAATTTCAGTAACAAGGTGTCTTGGACTTTTCCCTCAATACCTCAGCACGCTGCATGTGCAGCACAACTTCCCAGCTCTCCATCACAGGTCTCTCCCCCAGCTTCACAAAAAGCAGCACCTCGATCACCCCTTGATCAGCTAAAGTGATGCCATTATGGGACTGCTGAAGACAGAGCGACTATTTTATATCGTCTGAAGCAACCAGGGAATGAAAGGGAGGGTCTTCAACAGAATTTTAGCGCAGGAAAGTCACCTCTCCCAAACTCAGCGACAAGTTTCGTGCTGTTCCCCAGTAAGAAACCGACGAGGAGAAGCTGACAGACAGGGCAGCCAAGGTCAGAAATTGCTTCGTACAGAACCCCCCCCCCCCAATGCAACTATACTAGAATACCTAAAGCCAGAAAACGAGTTACTACTTCTCCAGTGCATATTTTATTGGGTAAAGTAGATTTTATTCCATGCTACATAAGGGAACTGCTTCAGGAAGCAACACAAGTGCCTGGGTCTGTGGAACTACTCCCTGAAAGTCTAAACAACCAGTAAGTATCTCCAGAGGCTGGACCATTCTGCATTTGGACCCTGATCCAGAAAGTTCAGGGGAACGGGACTAACCATAAACAGTAAATAAACCCTACCGCACAGGACTTAGGCACCTGCGTTGGGAAACGCCATCCCTCATAGAGGGAACTAGATCTGAGACAACTGCAGGAAAGAATCGACTGACAGAGAAACATATTGCTCTTCCAAAACTAGGTTTTTAAGCTCCACGGTGAATAACTGCAGTGCTTTCTGGCCAATCCAAGTGCAAAACAGATGCACTTTCCCAATATAACAGTTCCTTCATCCTCAGAGGCGAGAACAGGAATATTCTCTTCAGTTAAAACTAAAACGGGCGGATTATCGGCTGGTATCATCTGGCAGTGTTACTGTCTACAGAAACTACTGTATCTGGCCCAGGACTTACAATTGCATCCTCCACACTCACCATTTCTGTCAATGGCAAAAGGAACATCTGTCGTGACAATTTCATAATTGCATATCTGGCTGTACTGTGGAGAACAGTCCTCATCCATGGCTTCTACCTGTAGTATACTTTCATAGATCTTTCCCTCTGTCACTGTGGCCTTATACGCACTCTCCTTGAAAGCTGGTGAAAACTCATTGACATCCTTTACCTGGATATGGACCACGGCCCTAAAATAAGTAAATGAAAAATTCAAGGAGAAAAATTAGTTTATTATGATTTTAAGAAAGATCATATTATTAACAGATTGTTTTCAAAACATTTCCAGGACTAATGCAGAAAATAACTGGAAAACAAGGTAAGCCTCTGTTAAAATGAGAAATTATTGAATTTGTGTGCTTAACGTCAGCAGTTCGAAAACCGAATGCGGTGTTCAGTGAAAACATATTGCCACGGCTAGCAAGGAGGAGTCTTCACGGTGCTCCTCTTAAAACTGTGCTGCATCTTAAAACAGACCACCGGCAAAAGGTCAACGAAATCATTCCAATGTAAAATGGAGTCTTAAGTGAAAAAAGGGACAGAGAATTACAGTACTTTTTACATGTTCATCACTAAAAGTGGTCCGTTTATGAACACTCTTCAACATTAAATAAGTCTCTTGCATTCTTCTGCTGGTTATAATTATCTCACGTCCTAATTAGCTGCAATATTGTACATCTAGCTTGTGAAAGAAACGGTATTGTCAGTACCCCAAACTGAAACGCAACATAATATTTCAAGAAAGAAATGATGCCACACATCCGCTGTGTCCGGGTGGGCCTGAGCTTCCCTGGTGAGTCACAAAAACATACTCACTTACGAACAAATCAAAGGGTAGGGTCCTAGGCAGCTCTCATTAGGATAACGACTGTGCCACATTATCAATATGTGCATTCTCGTAAACCCTCGAGGGCCAAAAATGAAAGTCCTTTTGTATTCAATGACCAAACCCTGCAGGCATTCCGTTAGAAGAATTTGCTATCTGAACTGACAGGCAGGGTAAGAGAGGGACAAAGAAGTGAAGGGACTTTCTAGATCAATAGCAGAGCCAGCAATCAACTGTGGGATCTTCAAACAACCTAGCTTACTGTGTGATTTAGTATATAAACCACCACAAGCGTACCACGCACCAGCTTCTGGTCTCAACGTACCAGATTTCATTTTGTTTATGACTGGATCAAAATACTCCAAAAGCCTAACACCTACTATACTGTTACTGACATACGAGGGGGGAAAAAAACTCCTAAACTCTGACAACACGCAATCAAAAACTGTTTCTGTAACTTCACAGTTATTTGATACTGCACGTTTCCTTATAAATGTTGTTTTTTATTTTTAACATCCTTAAAAAAGTTCAGGATGAATTACAGAGCTGATTACGTTTTTACTTGTCGCGTGTCTTTGATGAACAAATGGAAGAATGATTACTATCAAGCATTTATTTAAATGGCTCTCACAGCAAAACGAACAGTTTGTATAGCAGTTACACATCTACACGCGAATAAATCTCATCTTTATTGACAAGTGGTCTGGCGCTTGATTTCATGAACTGGATGAAAAAGGCGCTGTGCTGTTTAAGGTTAGGCAGGGAACTGGCTCCACAGTATGAAGTGCCACCTATTAACTTGCAGTGCCCCCTTTTCAGAGGATCTGAATTCCTCTGAGACTTGCTATCCAAACGCAGAGGTCAGAAAAGCACTGGGCAAAGGCAACACTGCTGCAGCTTATACTTATGCATATAGTAAAAAATGGGTGAGTTCCCTCACTCGTTGCCATTTGAAATGAGACAAACAGAGAGAAAACCTACCTACATCTCCTAAATTATAAGCTGGCTTCCACATCCTGGTTGATGTGTTTAGTCTATCTGTTTAATGGGAAAGCAAGAACAGGAAAAAAAAAAAAAAAAACATAACGGAGATACGGTTCTCCATTTGAACAGCGATCCTATTAAAAGCTTCAACTGAAATCCTTGCAGAAGAGGTCAAACTGCAGGAGGAAAAAAATGAAGGATATTTTCTAAAAGCAAAAAAGAACCCCAACAGACAAACTATTGCAGCAACGAATTGTCTGGGTTTTATTTGCTTTCCACCTGACTGTAGTATAGAAGATGTCCTTCAACCTCATCTGTACTGTAGTGTAAGCGCACGGCAAAGCAAAATTTTTTTCCTCATTTTCACTCACTTGTGAGATTTCTTCCAGTTTGTTCCACTCGGTCCTGATCCACAGTCGTAGGCCTGGATGACGAACGTGTACTCCTTCTGCAGTTCACAGTCAATCGGACTTTTTGCTCGAAGACGACCTTCTCCGGATGTCTTGTTTAGCACAACGGCTTCAAAGGGCATTTCTTGTCCGTGGATTTTAAAAGCACAGATTTCACCTGTGAAGAATAATATCAAACAGCTGTAACTGGGGAGAACTAAGTCGCATGCACCAGAGTGACACTGGAGATGTTACTCATTTGTATTTCTCACGTTGCTGCAGAGGGGGTAGCAGAGACTCAGGCAGCGGTTTGTAACACTATCAGAGCCACTGGCCACCCACGCGCGCAGCATGATGTGGCGACTGCAACTCTGATCACATACTTCCCTCTTCCTCTGTCACTGCGGCATAGTTTCTTAAAGCCCTACAGCCCACTCCCTGGACATGGCATCGATGTAAATTTCCAGCTGGAACAAGAGGAGTTTATTTAGTTAAACGAAGAAAATGAGATCAAACAGAGAGAAAAACAGATTTGAGAGGTCTTCCTTCCTTCACGCCGCGGCCCATTCATTTTGACACCTGAGCTAGCGGGTGCTAGCACATGTGCAAATTCTTGCAGTTCAGTTCCCCAACAGTGAAAAAATTAACAATTCAGAACATGGGCCAGTTTGAAGTGTATCTTGTTTTGTTTACATACATATCATCTTTGGAACAGAAGTAGTCTCAAAGGACCAGAGACAAGTGCCCCTTTTGGAAACCTCAGTCACCCACCCACATTCACACACCCATACATGAATGCCTTCTTGTCAGCAAGTCACTCTCTCCCCAGACCGCCTCCTAATGTAATAAAGCCATGGCTTATTCTCAGAGGAATACTATGTAACAACACAGATGATGCAGCAAGGACTAAAAAATTGATTAGGAAGTAAAACACAACATAAAATTAAGAGTTTCGGGGGATGGGGTGGGGGGGAAAGCAGTTCCTGGTGATCACTTCTTAATCCTTTCTGCTGATGGCAAGGATATGCACGCTGAATTCATTTTCAGCCATTCCAGAAGCCAACTTCAAAAATAAAATATTTATACCAGCACCAATGTGGCTTAAATATTTCTGTGACACATTAAACACAATGCTCTTTTATGAACAAGTCAGTCTCAGGACATGCATTATAGATTCAAAGCTGTCTCCCACTCACATAATCCTTTTCCATTTATTTCCAATTTACAGTTGCAGCCTTTTGGAAATCGCCTTGCCAACCATGTCTCAGTCAACGGCCAAATTCTAAATTAACTCTGAATCTGTGACCCCCCCAACTCAAGTCTGGCTCTTTTCTCTCTCTTTCTATCACAATTTACATTGTTTTTAAAGAAGGTAGCCAGTGAGTTTATTCAAGTGCTGGAGTTCATAATTCTTATTACGGGTGAGAAAGAGAGAAAACATGAAGGATGGAGGAGATTACATATACTCAGAGAACAAATACAGGCAATCAGGATATTCTCTCAACTTCCACTGCATACGTCTCCCTTGACTCTAATGGGACCTGAAGCTGAGCTCTGCAATATATAGGCTGACATTTAGGCAGACAAATCCCACACTTAACACCTGCAATCAGTCCCGTGAATGTCTTTATGGGATCTGCACACAGATGTTTTAGTAATGATGAGGCAACAGGAAAATACACTAAACACGTGCTCGGACTCAAGGCTCCCGCCACCCGCACAAATGGCATGAAAGGGCTGCGTGGATTTTCAAGCTCTCTGCTACATAAAGCCACGCTCTTTTCTAGCCTTTCTTCAGCTCTCCTTCAGTGAGCCCAAATGTTTGGGCTTAATAAGGCAGAACGGATTTTACCCTGAAAATCAGACTCTGAAAAAGATGAAGACTTCGCGCACGGCGTAACCGTAACGGCGGCCTCCACAGCAGCTACGGACTGCTAGGGAGTAAACCAAGGGCAGAGCTGAAGGGAAGGCTGACGTGAGGCAGTTTGTTCAGCTTCGATCGTGGGCGCTGCTCACTGAGCTTATATCTCAATAAATTGGTCAAAGGTGCCTATGAACAAAAAATTATTCTCATTTCCATGTAACTTCAAAACACATATCTAAAGGAATATTGTGGATTTCAGTTTTATTTTAATCTAACAGAAAAACAACACTTTAAATCTAGGAAGCCTAACAGAAAAATACTATTTGTTCTGTTCTGTAACAGTGGCCTTCCTAGTTCTTAATAATAGTTTTCCTCAGATGCACAATCCATCAATAGAGATCGTAACCCGAGTGTTTTGTGTTTATTATTTTATTGATCCGCTGCCTGACTATAAACAATACAGCATTTTAGACATCTAAGCCTACCGTTCTTAAAAAATAAAAATAGCTAAGGGTAGGAAAACAGGAGTAATCTCCGCTCTATTCTAAATGTTTATCATGTTCTCCTCATTACAAGGCCTGATACAAAACAATCGCAGAGGTCAACCAGGTTCTAATTACTCCTCAGCAAATATTTCAGAAGTCTCTGTATCGTGCAACTATGTTAGATGCTCAGCTACAGAACTCTAATTTTGTCTTTTATATCCCCATTTGCCAAAGATAAAACAATTCCAGCTGCAAAGATGCTAGGAAGTATTTGTTAACACAATGCAAACCCCCCCCGCCCCCCGACATGACACTTCCAGACTGCGCTACAGTCACCTGCTCATACAAAATAAGAACATATATTTTTTAAAATGAGATAAGATTATTTTCAGGAGAAGGATTCTGCTACTGTTTCCACAGAAATTCATTCAAGGAGAAGGTGCCTCTCTAGTTCAAGCCCACTCTCTAAGTCGTGGAACAACCACCTTCTGAACGTGGCCGCCACCCACCTCACTTCTCTTTTTTAGGATGGAGATGATTAGAGTGTCAGTTGCCATGTTATCTTCCCCCCAACAGACAATGTGGAACAAAAGTAAGTTTAGTCCTTAATTTCATTTGAACGAATTTGCCAACAGGTGCTGAGAGGATTGAGCGCTGATAAAAAAGGCAGTGGCGGGAGTCGATTTACATAGCAGTAAGCTGGTGATACCACATAAAGGTGGAAGCACGCCCACGAAATCCTACAGTAATCGCATTCAGGGCCAAGATACACATCCTGAGGGGTTCCGATTGCTTCCTATACAATCTTCTGGTCACAGGATTTAAGTTTATTAAGAGTTGCCTCATTTGAAAAAAATTCTAATTAAATTCTGGGCATTCGGTTTTCTCTTCATATCATTCCGAGTAGTATTAGCCATAAGCATCTATTAATTTTGAAACCTACGTTACTTTTAAGTTGAGAACTCTGGTAGAGAACCACAGATTACTACCACAGGGATGTTAGTCATCTACCTTCCTCTGTAAGAACTATAATCATTTAGAATATCTAGAAAACAACGTTTCACATTCAGCAACTTTTACATGTAAGATTTGGAGTGCTGATTACAAGCCTTAATCAACAAAATTGTTCTATGAATTACTGCCTTTTATACCAAAAACAAAATTCACACTGCTTTTAACGGAAATAAAAATCCCTAATGTTACTCCTTTAATGTTTGCACAGAACTATTTATTTGAACTCAATTTCAGAAGTTATTGGGGGAAAAAAAAAAAAAAAGAGCCTTGCTGCATACTTACTTTGTCTTTCACAGCTTCTTGTTCAGCTTTTTGAATATCTTCGCTGGAGATATTCAAAACCCGCCTGGACGCGATCCTGGGAAATATGCCCTAGAGGACCCTGCTTGGGAGGCTGGACTAGATGATCTCCGGAGGTCCCTTCCAACGTCAACCATTCTGTGATTCTGTGATTTTTATTAACGAGAATACAGAAGGCTCCAAGTGAAAAGCTGAGATCTTTGACACCTGATCATTTCAGCAACACTTAATATAGGGCAACAGTTATATCTGAATCTGTAATTGGAAAACGTTTAAGTTTCATTAACTGCAACCAAAGTTCCTAGCTTGCACTGTTTTCTCCACTGGGCTTATGATTGCTCCTGGCGTTCGGTTTCTACACCTGTGTTCAGGGTATGTGTATGTGTGTGAGTACATGCATATATATTTCTTCCTGCCATTTTACTTGTTTCTTCCTGCCATTTCCTTGTGAACCGTGTGCCGATTTTAACCAAATTTTTAAAAGACGGGTTGCTCCCTACAAATACTATGAAAACATGCAGCTGGCACAATAGACGTTATAGAAACTGTTCAAGGGTGACCAAGAGGTCACATCTCAGCAGATACCCAACATGACGCACAAAGACCTTAATAAACACCCGACAAGACAAGCTTCAGTCCTATCTTGCACCTTCTTGGTACCAGTCAACCAAACATGAGACACAAACCTGTAGGAAGCCAGGCTTCATTAGTTCACTGCTGACAGAATGACTCATTTGTATTCACATTCTGTTCCGACTTCATTAAAAACTCTCTCGACTTTTATTATATTTCTATGCTTATTTTTCTCAGATGGGCAAACAACAGTGTAGCTGACCGTTTCTTTGGAGTAATATCATTGAAGGATGTGATCTTATACTTCCTGAGGTGAGCACACTGTCCCTGAAAGATCCCTAAGTGCCCTAAGGCTCAAAGCCCTGTAACCATGCACACACCCGCTACTGCCCGAGCAGAGACCTGTGCTTTGTCCAGGAGAGATGCCACTCAAGTTTCAGCTGAAAGAACACAGACAGAAAGGGGCACTTTGATATCCGCGACCAAGGAGTCACTGAGACCTCCGAAGACCTGCATACGAATGTCAAGGATAACGCTTTTCCTTATGTGCATCCTTCAGCAATTTGATTCAATTACATGGATCAATTGCATTGTAACAGAGGTATATGAAAACCAGCAGCAGGTCCAGAAATGAAACTCCTTCACATACTACATGGCACAATCAGGCCCCCTAGAATTTAATAAAACACGTATATATTTGCTTATACAGATGACTCTGCTCTTGCTATAACTAGAGGTTTAAAGCCACTCTTGTCAATGACATCAAAGCACTATTAATCTACACCAAATTTCCATCTTTAACCCTTTGCATGCGCTCTCTCCACATATATACGCACATCCAAACACAGGCACGCTACTCTCCGAATATCAATCGTCTATGATCTCTGTTCGCAGCTTGATGAAAACATGCAGAGAGGCAGTGCAGTTGGGACTACTATTCAA